TGGGATAAATGCAGAGCACTAATTCCGAGTATGGGTCACCATACTTGGCCACATGTCACGTCACTTTTCACTTTTTCACTTTTCACTTTTCAATATTACAGCGAGAATAAAAGTTACTCCTTCTTTCTTTGTGTGAACATTTGGGCGGTGTTATGCAAATCTTCCCAGATCGTGACGTAGGTATGTGGGGGCGTGTTAGAACGAGCCGTTTTAGGTAGGCGTGGCTGACTCTTAACTTTTATAAAGAATATCTCTTTGGATTTGAGACTTTAGTCTTTGCAACTTTACAGATCTTCTTTATGCACCAAGCGCTTGTAACACTCCAAAGAGAAAGGAAAAATTGAAATCGCATCATATGACCCCTTTAAATGAACTTGGTGGAATAGGAAAGAAAACAAATCGTGATATGCTTGCACATTGCTATCACAACCAAAGCAAACAGAAGTAAAACATTACAAACTGACCGGTCCTCTGCATGTCCTCCAGTTTGATGTGAATATTGCAGGAGGTGTTGAGTGGCAGTGTGGTTTAATGAACTTTTAGCATTTTCCAGAAAAAGAGATACAAAATAGGACTTGACTAATACTTAGTTTTTCAGCAAAGAAAGGAGGTGCATAGAATTTATAGAAGTTTTATATATGTGGTGTCTTGCATATTTGTGACCCTGGACCACAAGGGTCAATTTTTCGAAATTGAGATTTATACATAATCTGCAAGCTGAATAAATAAGCTTACCATTGATGTATGGTTTGTTAGGATAGGACAATATTTGGCCGAGATACAACTATTTGAAAATCTGGAATCTGAGGGTGCAAAAAAATCTAAATATTGAGAAAATCACCTTTAAAGTTGTCCAAATGAAGTTCTTAGCAATGCATATTACTAATCAAAAATTACATTTTAATATATTTACTGTAAGAAATTTACAAAATATCTTCATGGAACATGATCTTTATTTAATATCCTAATGATTTTTGGCATAAAAGAAAAACCTATAATTTTGACCCATACAATGTATTTTTGGCTATTGCTACAAAATATACCCCAGCGACTTAAGACTGGTTTTGTGGTCCAGGGTCACATTTAGCATCATCACAGTCTTATTTGAAAACAGGTGCTGATGCCATGGCAACGGGACACTATGCTCAGACATCCCAGGAGGACGAGGAGGTTTTTCAACAGAAGCACATTCCACCTTCCAGAACCCTCTTCAAAGATCGGTTTGAAACAAGAAAGCGTAAGTGTCCATGCGATGTAGAGGACAGGGAAATAAATTATGTTTACAGGAGCATTATGTATTTTTTTTTCAGTATCAATTCAATGAAAATCAAGTTGTATTTTTATTTTATTTTATTCTTAATTTCTATTTCAAATTGATTTTACAAATATTTTAATTTACAAACATATACCACCACGATGTATACTTAGTTGAGTCCTCTGCACATTATGACTTTGCTGCAGCCTGGAATTGAACTGCTGGTTTCGTCTGGTCAGAGGAGAACTGGCCCCCCGACTGAGCCTGGTTTCTCCCAAGGTTTTTTCTCCATTCTGTCACCGATGGAGTTTTGGTTCCTTCCTTGCCGCTGTTGCCTCTGGCTTGCTTTGACATCACAGAATTCAATGATGAACTGCCTTTAACTGAAAATTGACTGTGTACTATTATAATTTTGCATTAATGACACACTATTTTCCTAGCTAATGCTGTACAGTTGCTTTGACACAATCTGTATTGTTAAAAGCGCTATATAAATAAAGGTGACGACTTGACTTAAAATGTTATACTTGTGTGTAAAAAAAAAAAAAAAGAGGCTTTTTATTTCTTTATGCAAAACATGTCTTATTATTTTCTTTTGATTTTTGGGTTGTACTATGGACATGGACCTTTCTTGACAGTTTCTGTAAGATTTAAGAGATTTAAAATGATGTTCCTTTAATGTCCGTTGTATCTGTGATTTGTTTCTAAATTGACCTTTACTCTGAATCTTATTAGCTGTGCGGCTCTATCAGGGTGCTGATCACTTGAAGGACCAGACATTCTTCCTCAGTCAGATTTCCCAGGATGCTCTGCGACACACAATATTTCCCCTAGCTGGGCTAACCAAAGATTTTGTGAAGAAAATAGCTGCTGAGGCTGCTGAGACTAAATTAAATAAATCACACTTTTGAAGATCTAAGATTTCCGGCACGAGAAATGTGACTGAGTAGTGCTCAGTATTTTAAATGTAATATATTCCACTGATTAATTGATACAAAAATGTCTGCTCAATGACTAAATGTAATGGAAATGCGATTGATTAATATATATATATATATATATATATATATATTTTTTATTATTATTAATAATAATAACAAAAGAGTGTGTTGAACAGCATATCAACTGCTATTGAATATCTCAGTGGTATTAAGAATAATAATATTCGGCATTGGCATAGTCTATTTTTCAGTCGTGACAACCCTATCAGAGTTATGAAAGAGAGAGCATGACACCAAAAGACAGAAGAGGCAGTGAAAGAAAGAGATGCCCAGAGTGATAGAGATTAAACTGAGACAGCTGTGGATGAAAGATTTAGGGAGAGCAGGAGATGAGAAGAGGAGTCCTTTTAGGACAGACAGAGAGAGAGAGAGAGAGAGAGGGGAGGAAGGAAGGAATGAAGGAGTTGATGTCTTTGACCTTGAGCTTAGTGGCTTCCTGTCTCACAACAAATCTGCCACGCCTCTCGCTCGGTCTTTCTCTCCAGAAAATCTCACTGACATCTCTCCCTCTCTAATCACATTTGTGACAGTAAATCAGCTCTGACTCATGCACTGAAATATGAGATCCGGGCTAATGAAAACTTTATTTCAGCCTCACCACAGAAATCTCTATGGGCACATAAATACTGTCACGTGCACTCGCCACAGCAACAGCCAGCGCAACCGCAATCAATACACCTACACACACCACCTGTCAAACGCTTGAACACACTCCACTGAAAATAAATGCCTTGAATTAGTTTTGTAGACAAATAAAAAGCAGATATCAAGATATCAATTAAGATATTTTACATGATGTTTAAAATGGTTACAATATTTGGGGACTACACAATTCCCCACTTATAGTTTTGATGATTTGCCTAATATCCTAAAATACGGAAACAGTAATAATAAATAGATGTGTCCAATTCTTTGACTGGTAGTGTTTATGGGCCTAATGTCCATTGGCATACTACACTACTGCATACTATTATACTATCTTGCATATGTAGTAGAGCCCGACCGATATGGGTTTTTTGGGGCCGACACCGATACCGATATTAGGGAGTTTAAAAAAGGCCGATATCGATATATCG